AGCAGGTGGCAGGCGCCCCACCCGTGGCGTCGCAGGAACGTGGCGGGCGTCGCAGGTAGCTGTGGAGCTTAGGCGCAGGACGGTAGCGGCGAAGCAGACCATGTAGCTGGTGGCGGGGCAGGTGCTGGCCGCGGCGCAGGTGGCGGCGGCGGCGGCGCAGGACAGCAGGCCGACGGATGGGCAGAGTGAGCTAAAACCTTACGAATGATTTGGGGATTTAGTTGCACGGGCCTACATGTTAGCTCCGGGCCCACGTCCACGCGGTCCCACGTGTAAACTCCGGACCCACAACCACTAACGCCGGCGGACGGAATGGACTCAAATATGGCCGTTTGGCCTCGCCATAGTAGCTGTGCATGGACTAGGGGCAAAACTGAGCACAATTCGCATCTGATGGTAAAACTGAGCACATGGACACCACTGAAGGCAAAATAATAATTAACCCAATACATTTTGTTGTTATTTAATCAGGCGAGTGCAATGTAAAGTGGCATGCGATGCCAGATGTGTTGTTGTTCAGAGGGTGAGCCGTTGCCACCTTTGTCGGTCAGAGCAAAGAATTTTCAATAACGTGCGAAAACGACAAGTGAGAGAACATATATTCCATTATTCCTATAGTCCATCCACTGATCCACAGATAAGTAAGCGGGAAAAGACACACCTGATACATACAGTCACAATTACTTAGCTGCTAATACTCCCTTGGAATCTCATTCACTCAGATACCGAGAAATGTCTGCACCTCGGTTATTACTGGTTGACAGGAATGCCAAGATTTTTTTTTCACTAAAGCAAAGAAGAAACAGCTGTTTAACAAGAAATTTACAGCGCGCAGATAAAATTGTGATGGGTGGAGGACGACTTAATCGCCCAAATGTTACAAAACTATCACCAACTCACCAGCTGTGGGTTGCAAAACCGATGAAACGAGACTGAATTGATTGACGTGTCCGGTTACATCAGCTAATTGTGGCTCTATATAAAGAACATCGATCAACAGATCCACACAAGCACAAATAGCAGACCTGCATGCGACCTGGCAGACATGGCTAACATGAAGCTACTGGCCGTGTTCGCTGTCTTGCAGTTCCTGTCACTCCACCTCCAAGTCCATGCCGTCTCCGGGTCCGCGGCCAGCAGCGTGCACAAGCCCACAAAGCCCAGCGGCGCCGGCAAATGCCACATCAGTGGCTTCCTGCACGGCGTAGCAGGCAAATGCAACAGGGAGCACGGCTCCGACTGCTGCGTGGCCGGCCACCGCTACCCGCAGTTCAGGTGCTCGCCCCGGTGTCGGCCGAGACGCCGGCGATCCTTACATTGAACAGCTTCACGGCGGGCGGGGATGGCGGCGGCAAGTCCTTCTGCGACAACCGCTTCCACAAGGACAGCGAGGTGGTGGTGGCGCTGTCCACGGGGTGGCTGCGCCTCGACGGCACGCGCAGGTGCAACAAGATGATCCGTATCAACGGGAATGGGCGGTTCGCGCTGGCCAAGGTCGTCGACGAGTGCGACTCGGTGAACGGCTGCGACGCCGAGCACAACTTCGAGCCGCCGTGCCCCAACAACGTCGTGGACGGGTCGCCCGCCGTGTGGAAGGCACTGGGGCTGAACGAGGACATTGGAGAGTTCAAGGTCACTTGGTCTGATCTCTGATGTGTGAGCCTATGCCATGGTGACCTCGTCTTAATCTACACATAAACCTAGAGGGAGGACATCATTTATTATGCAGCGTTTGGTCTGTGTTGTGGTGGAGTTGCTGCTAACTAAATAAGCCCATCTAATAAAAAAATTAAAAATAAATAAGCCACAGCTTATATGTGTATGTGATATTTTCCCAAGTTTATGTGCTTGCATGTTTGCTTTATAGTATTTCTCTTCAACTTGTGTGGTGTAAGGCCAATCATGGTGCAGTTGGTTCAAAGAAAAACTGCACAAAGAACTCACAAAAGACCAGATAAATTTAGGATGCTCATATGACGCGGACGCGACCTTGCTCGATCGCACGACTACCAGACATGTGCGGTCAGACAGCGCTAGGGGATCATGGTGAGGGTACGCTGGAGAAACACAGCGTGATGTGTGGTCGAAATTGTGTCACGCAGACGATTGGGTGAGGCCAGGGAACATTCATCAAATAAAATTTCCATAAATTTAATGTAAGCAGAACTTTTTACGGCCTAGACAATCATAAAAGACTAATAATTCATGTCGGTCGACCGGCTAGGAATTGGGCCGGCCGCCTCGGCATGCAACGCTGCCTGCTCGTCCTATCCATGCTCGCCATGTGGCATGAGTTCGATGCAACGCCTCCTCCGTCCAGCGACCTTATCATTTCTCATACTAGTCACAGTGGGGAGTAACTTCAACTAATAACATACAAATATTACTACCTTCATAGTGAAGAGTAACATATGTGTGGTGTCATGCAACACTTTATTTATTAGCTTGTGGACTCATCTTATCTTGATATGTGTGATCTTACTCGTAGTATGACGAACTAGCTATGTTAATCAATTCATCTTTCTCCTCATTGAATCATTGCCACATAAACAAATTTGCTAAGTTGGACCTTATGTTACTGCTGAAGTTATTCTCACCGTGGGTAGTCTCTACGCAACACTCCTTTTGCATCTGTTTCTCTCTCGTACTGTCGTTGCAGAGGAGACGCGGTTGGGCCTGCACCCTACCACTCATATCTACAGTCCTGTTATCTATCATCATAGTACTTTTATGGTCTCTTTGTCTTGGCCATAAAAGTTCTACTTACATTAAACTCATCAGGGATTTTATTTGGCGATTGATCCCTCACCCCAATCGTTTGCCTGCCACAATTTTGACTAGACATCACACCACGATTCTCCAGTGTGCCTTCACCATGATACCCTAGCCGCACATGTCTGGTAGTCGCGTGATCAAGTGAGGTCGTGGCGTATGAGCTTCCTAAACTTATCTGATCTTTTTCGAGTTCTTTGTGCAGTTTTTTCTTTCAACCAACTGCACCGTGCAGACGGGTGAAAATAGATTGGCCTTAAACGACACAAGTTGAAGCGAAATACTCTTATCTATACCTATTATTAAAGGGAGGTAATCAACCCACAATTCTAACGAAATCAGTTAGGTATGTATGCTTATGTTGTGTGTTGCTTACTCAATAGCGTGCCATTCTTTAGAAAGTAGTTGGTAGCATTATTATTATGTCATGAACAAACACAAACTATTTCAAGTATTAAGGCTTGCAAGTAGATCATGGACAACCCGCCCCGGAGGCCCGAACCTGAAGCCCGACATTAGGGCCTGGTTTGGGCTCTAGTTTCTCGCACAAAAGCCTGAAAAGGCCCAAAATGGGTGGTAAGTTATGATACACACGGTTTTACCTAAATATATAGTAATACTATTGATCACCTAGGGTGCAGAATAAATAATTATTCACCCGACTTATCTTACGATCATTTCATAAATAAATTACATTTAGAATATAAATAGTTATATTCATATTAATTCACTACGTAAAATTTGGCATAAGAAAACAAGAATATAGGTCATAAAACCAGAAAAATTGCATTACACTATAGTTTTACTTTTATAATTTTACGCAACATAAATTTTTTTTACAGTGATTATATATTTTCTTACGTTTTGCTTTAACGTATGAAATAAGACAAAATTTACGGAACATATATTTACGGTGCATTGATGTTAAAATAGAGTGGGGGGGGGTTAAATTAATATAATATCCTTAATATGATTCATTTAAATAAAAATGCAATTGTTCATGTGCTTCGGGCCGGCCCAGCCCGGGCTCAGGCTTGAGATTTTTACTTCAGGCTTTGCCAAGCCCGGCCCGAACCCGACCTGGCCCAGGGAATTATCAGGTTTACTTGCAAGCACGTTCTTTGAGCTGTAAGCTTCTCAGTTAGCTCCAAATTGCTTTTCTGTTAATAGATCCTTAAGCACTTCTCATACTAGCAATGTGAAGTTGCTAATGGTAGGCTTATTGCTAATGTATAAGGCTGGCATGCGTGTACTGCAGTGTACAGATCAGGGGAGGCTAGGACGGGCTTGCAGACAACACTGCGGCACGCACGAGCAAGAAGTGTGCTTGGAATTTGAGATTGTTTCTCTAGCAATATCAGGCCTGACATAGAGACAAGGTTGCAGCGAATCTTTATATGTTTGTGATGTTGTTTATTGTACATTTGCACATATAGAAGAAAACATATATAATGCTGCTACTTATAGTTTGTTGTGTTTTTTCTTACTTCTTGCAATTGCTAATGCATTTAAATTTCTTTTGTACATTTAATTTTGGCGATAGAGCATTTATACTCGTTGCATGCACGGGAATGTTTGCTAGTAAAATAAATATGGCAAACACACAAACTTAGGAAAATAGAGACTTTTTACGGTGCATCGTACTACCGCTAGAACATAGTGATATTAAACAAGATCAATAGTTGATTAGATGGCTATTTTAGACTTTTTCTTATTTGGATTTATTTATTTCATATAAGGGTTATTCGTTTTCTATCAGCATGCACTTCCCAGATTCTACCCGCCCCCCAGGGAAAGTATCTAGTGCTCCCAGGCCTAGGGTGCTCCCGGTGCTCCGATGCAAAAAAACATTTTTAAAAATGTTCAAAAAATTCTGAAAAAAATGCAGCACATCGATGGAACATCGATGTCTCTTGTCACAAAATTTCAAATCAAAATTTGAAACATTGCTCAAAGTTTTGGCCCATTATCACATTGATGTCAAATTTGTCATTTTTGTATCTCGAGCAATGTTTCGAATTTTGATTTGAAATTTTGTGACAAAAGACATCGATGTTCCGTCGATGTGCTGCATTTTTTTCAGAATTTTTTGAACATTTAAAAATTGTTTTTCGGACATTTGGAGCACCGGGAGCCCCCCAAGCCTGGGGCACTAGATACTTTCCCCCGCCCCCCATGACCCATAGAGTGCTCCTCTTCAGCGCTTCCGTGCAAATGTTATATCTCGCTTTTAGCGATTATACAATCTGTCTCGACTTAAGGGCGCGCGCATATGGCCGGCCCTTTAGCGTAGCTCGTTCCTATCGATGTTCACTCATTGTTTTGTAGTTTGCTTGTGTCACTATTCACTCTGGTATTTTTTTTCCCTTTTCTTTCCTTTTTTCTGGTTTTCTTCCTTTTATCATCGTTTCTACTGTTTCTTTGTTTCTCTGTTTTACACTTTTTATTTTGCTTATCTTTCTTTCTATCTTCATTTTTCTTCGTTTCCTTCATTTTTTTCTTGGGTTTCATCAATTTTCTTTGTTTTCCAAGTTATTTCTTGGATTTTACTATTTTGCATTCTTTTTGCATTGGTCTTCTTTGGGATTTTTTTCTTCATTTTTGGCTTTGGTTTCTTCATTTTTCTTTGTTTTTTTTTGATTACATCTGTTTTCTTTTTGTTCAACACATGTCAAGTTTTCTCACTAAACATTCAACATTTTTCGTATACATCATAAACATTTTCTATATACACGTTTAATATTTTTTAAATACATTATTATCAAGTTTTGAAAACTTATTTTTTATGTGTACTTTTTTCATGCACATTATACATATTTTCTATATGTATAATCTATTTTTAATACATGTTTTACATTTTTCAAATACGAGATTAACATTTTCCAATATATGGTAACATATTTCAATACAAAATGAATATTTTTAATGGAAATAAAATTATACATAAGGAACATTTTATATGCATTTAAAAAAATAAATACATAATTAACTGTTTTAAATATATGTTTTTGATGTCTAGTTTTATTTAATGTACATAGTACAATTTTTATACCCTAGAAACATTTTTTATACATATTTAACCATTTTTAAATATATGATGAATACCTTTTCATACACATTATATTTTTTATAGTTTGGTACAACAAACATTTTTCTATACACATTTAACATTTTTAAAATGCTTGATTGATATTTTAAAATTATTGATAATAAAATTCAAATGCTTGAATTTTTTTGTAAAATGCATGAACAAAATTTTTCATACACATTGTATATATCTCCCGCATATATGAGAAATATTTTTCCATGTGCATTTAATTTTTTTTCAAATGATTGGTTAAAAGTTTTCAAAACCTTTATGTAAATTGATTTTCTAATATATATAATTGGAATATTTTCAATTATAAACAAAAAACATGGAAAGAAACAGAGGCAGTGGCGTCCCGCACACTGGGCTAGCCCGGCATGGCGCTTGCTTCAGAACCCCTCATATAAAACAAGCGAGAATAGCATTTTCTATACACATATGTTAACCCGGAAACTCCTATTGGCGGCTCAATGCGGCAAACTGCCGGTGCTTCGCACAGGGCGAGCGACCGAGCGATGCTTTTGGCCCGCCCCACTTACGTACATAGCTTACGAACTGCCCAACCCCGTTTTGTGAATCTTCTAGAAGGTTCCATGAACCAGTTTTTTCTCTTTTATTGGTTTTCCACTTTTTATCACTTTTCTGTTTCTGTTTCTTTTCTTTTTTTCGTTTACTATTTCTCTTTCATTTTTTGTTTTTTGTTTCCTTTTCTTTTTCAAGTTTATCTTTCCTTTTCAGAACATGTTCATAGTTTTACAAAATGTTTAGGATTTTCTTTTCTATTTGTCTTTCT